GCCGTCGGCCGGCCCCTGCGGCGCGCGCGCGGCGGCCAGCTGCGGCTGCTGCGGCAGGTCGCGGCTGAGCATGGCCGCCAGCAGGGAAAGCAGCGCCGCATGTTCTAAGGGCAGGTCCCTGGGCAATGGGTCCAGCAGTGCCCTGAGGGGCGCGCAGCCAGAACGGACGAGGGGAAAGGTGGGGGGAGCGGGGTCAAAGGGTGATGGAATGCTTGACGCTGCGCGGCCCCAGGTCGCCGCGCCACACGTGCACTGCATCCGCGCCGCAGCTACAGAACCAGGCGAGCAAGCGCGGCATGCTGCGTGCTGGATATCACCTCTTGCGAGGGGCCACGCGTTGTTGACCCCTGGTGTGAATAGCAGTCGTATTCTAGCCAGCACACCCGCTCACAGGATATCGCCATTGAAGGAGCCGTCGAGCGCAACCAGCGGCGCCACCGCCAGGAACTGCGCCGTTCCTCCTCCTCCGCCGCCGCCGCCGGCCCCAACATTGGCCTCCGCCCCGCGCGCCACAAGCACGAGCGCGTCCCCCCAGCCGCTAACGGCGCCGGCGGCGGCCTCCGCCGCGCAGCGCGCGGAAGCGGCAGCCAGGAGGTCCCCTGTGGCGCCCGCCGACAGCTCCTGGGGGGCCCAGCGCGAGCTGCAGCAAGCCACGAGCGTCGCCTGCGGGGCGAACGTCTTGGGGTCGAGGCTGCGGCTGCGGGCCATGGCGCGCACCCCGCCGCGCAGCACCGCAGCCGTCGTCACCTGCGTGCGCGTGAGCGTGTCAGCAGCGATGGAAGGTTTGGGCTCGCCTCGCCGCGGTGCTTAACGCATGCGTGGCCTCATCCCCTGGCGTTTGAGGGAGGACCCGTGCGGTTGCTGGCAGGGCACGGCGTGCTGGCGACGCATCATCCAGCTGTTTCCGCCCGCCACCGCCGCGGCGACGCGCCTGGAACAGCCGGCAGCAGAGGGACGCCACCTGCGCCGCAGCCTGTGGCGGCTCCCGCGCCTCGCCGCTGACGAGGGAGCTCAGGCCGCAGTGCGCCGAGTCGCAGCCGCGCTGCAGCGCGAGGCCGGCAGGCGCGGCCCTGACCCCCAACCGGCTGTCCGACAAGGTGTGTTGGAGGGTGGGCCGCTCTCGCCCCTGTGCAGGTGGCAGCTGCGGCGGGTCCTTGGCGTTGCTGGCCAGGCTTGGCGTCACGACGACGGCGTCGTCGTCTGGCGTGAACGTTGTCGTCGACGAGTGCGGGTCTGACCGCCGCGTTTCCCGCCACGTCGCCGCGGGGCCCGCGCCGCCTGCTGGTGGCGGGCCGGAGTCTGCCTGGCTGTCGGAGGAATGCTTTACAGCCGCTGGCATGGATGTGCACTGCCCCATGGGGGGCCCCTACGGCGACTTTTGGGGCCGCCCAGGCAGGGGTCCCCTGCGAAATGGCCTGCGATGTCCAATGGGCGATGCGGCTGTGGAAACTTGACGAGGTATGGTCCACGTGTTTGTGAGCATGTATGTGAGCTGCTTTAAATCACGTGAAGTGGGAGCGACAGCTTTTCATTGCCAACAGTGTATGCGCTGCTTTCAGGCCCTGCATGTAACCACGTGGTACTTTTGAGCTTGTTTGATAATGCTACCAATTGAACGGCGTCTGCCTAGCGAGGCCCGATCACCCATGATGACTACATCAGGCACTGGAGGCACTGCACTTCGGTACCTGACCATGGCATCGCCCTGATCACCGTCGACCATGTTGCCGCCTTTTGCGCGACGATCATCACTGTGTCGCGCATACGTTACACCTTCAAGCGTCCGTTGTCGCTGGTTTCAGCACCACGAGTGTCATCATCAGACGATTCCCGCGCCCTTCAAGCCCCATGGAGGACGCCACCTCAGTGCGCGCAGCGGTTTCTCAGTACTATGGCGAGACGATTCAGAAGACGGAGGACCTGAAGACCTCGGCCTGCTGCAGTGAGCACCAGCAGCACTGGCAGCAAGGCCGCCACCGCACGCTCCACGCACTCATCCAGCCCAAGCCGTGCGTCTGGCGCCAGCGGCCCATGCTCTTGGCAGCACCCAAACCTGTGCTCATGATTGCTGCCGACTCCTGGGCAACATGCACAGTACCCCGGCAGCGTGCTTGGCCCACTAGTGCATGACGCCGCGGCCGCCAGCCCTGTTCAGCCGCCTACCGCCGTCGCGGCCTCCCCCTCCCCCTCCCCACCCTGCAGCCGCCAAGGCGCCAGCCCCCGAGGTGATCGCGGTGCTCCGCCGCATCCCTGAGGAGATCAGGTCAAAGTGAGCGGCCGCGGGTGGCCCGCAAGCAGTGGGCGTGCGGGGCGCAGCACCGCCTGCTCTGCCGCGCAGCGGGCGGCTGGCACCAGCCGGGTGTGCAACCCAGCCGCGCTGGGCCGGCGGCCCTGCCACAGGCCGACGCCTGTATGGCCTGTGGTCGGCCTCCGGCTCGCGCCACACCGCTTTCAACGCTCTAAGTGGCGTTTGCGCTAGCATAAACCCTAGCATCTGAATTCGTTTGGCCAGCACGCGGTCCGACAGCAGGGGCGCGCCGCGCTTGGCTACCCC